GGGTGATGAAGCTATAGAAAAGATGGAAACACAGCTAAATTTGTGGATTCAGAAGATGATGGTGGTGGATAGAGAAAACGTAGTGGACAGTATTGTAAGGCTAAAAGCCAAAGAAATTCATGTTACCCACTACCAAAAGGTTGGCAGTTTGAATCCACTAGCTGCTCCTTGGAAACCCTATGGGGCAGTTCTACTCTGTCCTATAAGGTCACTATGAGTTGGAATCAGCTCGACGGCAGTGGGTTTCTTAGGGTCAGGAAAATGTTAAACCTTTTTCAGGTAGTGTTTTATCAAAAAGAAATGCATAAAATTAATTATTTATAAGAAATATGTATATTACATAAGGTGTCTTTAAACAGAAACACACATAAAACAAGGTTATGTATTGATTGGTTGAGGAAAATGTTGTGACCAGAGGCTTACAGGAACCCTGTGTTTCCCCTAGTAGTTTGGTGTTCTCTGGTGTCTTAGGCTGGGTTCTCTAGAGAAGCAAAACCAGCGTGTGTGTGTGTGTGTGTGTGTGTGTGTGTGTGTGTACAAGGAAATGGCTCACACAGTTGTAGAGGCTGGCAAGTCCCAAGTCCATGGGTCAGGCTGCAGGCTGCAGGCTTTTCCTGACTCATGTAGCTGCAGGGGCTGAGGAACCCAAGATTCCAGGTCAGATGGGAGGCTGCTGGCTCACAGGCTCCTAAGGCTGACAAATCCAAGATAAGTGGGTAAGATGGCAGGCCGCTGGCTCAGGTCCGAAGAACTGTAGGTGAGATGTTGACGAGCTGAATGCAGGATCCAGAGCAGAGCAAAAGCCAGTGAACTTTGCCAGAAAGATCACGTATATTGGATGCAGGCCACACCCCCAAGGAAACTCCCTTTGAACTGATTGGCTACTATTTGCAGACCTCATTCCGGAGGTGATTACATTATATCAGATGTCATCATGCGTTATATCATATCTCATCATGGAGGTGATTACATCATTATACAACTGCCAAACTAATTCGTAACTGCCAAACCACTGAGAATCATAGACCCAGCCAAGCTGACACAAAACCTTAACCATCACACCTGGGTATTTACTAACTCACTCTGTATGCAGTGACTTTATAGAACATACTACCACAAATGAAAGTCAACTGTATTTAATTGTCAACTAAAATATGTGTACAACTGTAAATTATTCTGAAATATAACAAAAAGGCAATTCCATGCCACCTGAAAAATGCTTAATGAGTAGATAATGTTGTCTAGAGTATTAAATCTTCATCTGTTTCATTAAGAAATGGATTTACTCTTATGTGAGAACTCTCAGAGCATTTTTATTTCATAGGCTTTTTGTTAATAACTAACATTTCCAGTAATCAATTACCTTAGTGAAATGAGTTTCGATTTTCTCATATGTTTCTTAAAGAATGTGTTCAGCAATGAATTAGCCATTGTGGAGGATATAAAAAAATAAGAAAACATGTATCTGGTAATATGATTGATTAAACTGGACTTAGAGGGGAGGCTTGCATGTTGCTGAACAGATTTCACTGGAGCTTTCAGACTAAGACTAGCAAGAAAGCCCTGTTGATCTACTTCTGAAAATCAGCCAGTGAAAACCCTAGGGACCGCAATGAATCGATCCCGTTGTGCATAGGGTCACCATGATTTAAGGCTGATCCAGCGGTAGCTAAGAGCATCAACAACATAGTTGAAATAATTTGTATAACAGTTGTGCAGTGGTTATGCAACAGTATATTACAGTTGTTTTTTGACAAAATGAATGACATAGCCAATATGTCCTAATGGCAAAGCCCACTTTTATGTTAAACAAAGGTAAAGGAAACTAACAAAAGCGAGATTAAAAAAAAAACAAACTTAGAAAAATTACTTATATACAAATAGGGATTGCGCAAGGCATAGAAGTGGAAAGCACCTCAAGCATGCATGACTCAGGTTTAAAAAGCAAAAATTGAGACATAACAGAGGAAAAAAGTCATTATTTAAAAATATACCAATAATTAATGAATGATATAGACAGTATTACCCTTTGGTGTACATCATTTTTATTGAATAAATGAATAATGCTTATCATGTATTTAGTACCTCCTAGGTGTCAGGCTGTACGTGTGTGTTGTGTGTGTGTATATTTAATTCATTCAAACCTTGTAAATAAGTTATGATTTTATACATTTAAAGTTGAAAAATTTGAGGCTCAGAGTTAGCGAATAACTTTGCTTCTATGTCACAAATCACTGAATCTTTCTATTTTTGACTAAAACTGAAAATCTTTCTACTCATCTTTATTTTTGTTTGTTTTAGTAAGTTAAAAAGATAACATGTATGTAATTGTTGTTCTGAGTCATAGAATTTTAGAATTGGAGGGGACTTAAAATATCCCTGAAATCTTAAGAATCCAGCTTCTCCACGAACACTTCCATGGGCATAACCTGTTGCTGTTGAGTCGATTTCAACTTATAGCAACCCTATAGGACACAGTAGAACTGCCCCATAAGGTTTCCAAGACTGTAATCTTTTATTTATTTATTTTAATTTATTTTGTTGTTGAGAATATGCACAGCAAAACATGCACCAATTCAACTGTTTCTACATGTACAATTCAGTGAAATTGATTACGTTCTTTGAGTTGTGCAACCATTCTCACCCTCCTTTTCTGAGTTGTTCCTTGCCATTAACATAAACTCACTGCTCCCTAAGGTTCCTGTCTCATTTTTTGAGTTACTGTTGTTACTTTGATCCCATATTAAAAAACAAACAAACCCATTACTCTCAAATTGTTTCTGACTCATAGTGACCCTGAAGGACAGAGTAAAAGTGCCCCATGTGGGTTCCAAGGAGCGGCTGGTAAATTCGAACTGTTGACCTTTTGGTTAGCAGCCAAGTTCTTAACCACTGCCCACCAGGGCTCCATATAGATAGTTCTTAAAAGAGCATAACTCTCAAGGAGAGTTGGAATTGACTCGACAACAACGGGTTTGGTTTTTAAGCTAAACTGTTGTTTCGTTTTAAGAAGACTTCAGGGGATATTTTTGGTTTAAGATTTAAAGATTATCTCAGGGCGGTAGTTTTAGGGGTTCATCCAGCCTCTATGGCTCCAGAAAGTCTGGAGTCAGTGAGAATTTGAAATTCTATTCTACATTTCCCCCTTTTTGATTAGGATTCTTTTGTGGAATCTTTGATCAAAATGCTCAGTAATGGTAGCTAGGCACCATCCAGTTCTCCTGGTGTAATGGCAAAGGAGGCAGTAGTTCATGGAGGCAATTTAGTCACACATTCCATATCCTCCTCCTGTTCCTGACTTTCCCTCTCCCTCTGTTGCTCCGGGAGAATATGGAAGCAGACTGCCACATCTTTCTCCCATGGAGCTACTGGTGGGTTCTAATCACTGACCTTACGACCTTTCGACCTTTCGGTTAGCAGCTCAGCACTTAACCGCTGTGCCGCCAGGGTTCCTTTTCATAGGCATAGGAGAGTGCATTTGACTTTCGAAAAGTATAAGAGAAAGATTTTACTTAAATTGAGCTAGTATCTGCTTTACTGTAACTTCTTTCCACTGGTTCCATTTCCGTCTTTAAGTGTATGATACAGGAAGTTTTTTTTTCCCCCAACATATTGGATCCCTGCTAGATTTTGTCTTTTCTAAATTAAATGTTACAACTCTTGTAACTGCATGTAATACAGTTTCCTTTATCCTTCCTCGTCTCCGTCAATTGGTCCAATCCAGTTTGTCAGTGCTATTCTTTTTGTTCTGTCTGGCTTCCATAGTTAGTTCTGCATTTATGGTCTGAATGCAGAGTGTAGTGAAACTTTCCCTTTACTTATTTCTAAAATAGTGTTAACTCTTTAACAGTAATACCTTTGCCAATTCCAAGCCAAAAAAAAAAAAAAAAAATTATGTTTCGTTTAAAGTTATATTTATGTAATTCTAGAGATTATTTTTTATTTTGAAATTCTGTACTTCTACTTCTCTAATGTTAAAATAGCCTTTTTAATGAAGTAATAGTAGGTGGTAAGGTTTTTTTTGGTATTAATTTTGGGGTTTTGTTTTTTTTTCAGTGTTTTTAATAAAAAAAAGTTGACAACCTTATGTTGGTTCTCATTTTGTTTTTTGAAAAACTTCTTATCTGGAAACCACTGATGTAGTCAACATAAACCTAACATCTTTTTCATGTTAAGCTAGATCTTTTCCATTATATATATATACACATGATGTTTTTGAAGCAGTATTTTCCCTTTGCCCCCTATTAAATTTCATCTGCTTAAAAGCTGCCATAGTTAAAACTTGTTGAGATCATCTTGAATTATTATTCTATAAGCCAAGGGATTAGCTATCTTCCTGGCTTTTTGACATTTATAAATTTAACAAGCCAGCTCTCTTATAACTTCATCTTGGCCACTTTCTGGATATAGCCAAGGATAAAGCCATGTAGCTTTATAAGTAGAATACATGTTACATAAGTAAAATATGCTACAGAAAAAGGTGACACAAAGATAATGAAGACCATTTAAATGTTGTTGTTTTAAATAAGGAGAAAACCATTATATCGTCCAGTACTAAAGGAATTGGATGAAGCTTACAGTTTGGTGGTGATATGGGTAATTATATAATTATATGATATAAAGTCAAGTAGGGATAGGTGCTGTGAAGAAAAATAAATCAGAGTAAAGAGTTGGGAAATCATGAAGGACTGCTATTTTTATATTTTTTAAGTGACCACTGCATTTAAGTGGATAAAAAAAATCAAATAATATTTTAAAAAGAAATAATGTGGAAATCCTCCCACCCCTGTTCCTTATTGGCTATATTACCACTTTTTCTACTCCAATCCAAAAAACCCAAACCAAACCTGTTGCCATTGAGTCGATTCCAACTCATGCGAACCTGTAGGGCAGAGTAGACCTGCCCCATAGGATTCGCAGGGAGTGGCTGGTAGATTTGAACTGCTGACCGTTTGGTTAGCAACCGAGCTCTTAACCACTGTACCACCAGGGCTCCTCAATTCCAGTAGGTGACTATTTTATTTCTTTTTTTAAATTTTATTGTGTTTTAGGTGAAGGTTTATAGTTCAAATTAGTTTTTAATTAAAAAATTAATACACAAACGATTTTGTGATGGTTTTATTATTGTGTGTTTCTAGTGAAGTTTTTTCAAATCAAGCATATATAAATTTATATTCTTGAATCACCTCCCCCTTTTTCCAGAAAAGATAGCGACTTTATACACCATTCTGCACCTTGAGAGCTATTTTAGGAGGTGGTCAGGGAAGGCCTCTCTACTGCATTAGGTAAGGAAGCAAGCCATGTAGGTATCTGGATGAAGAGTATTTTATTTGGGTACAAAGGTCCTGAGGCAGGAATGAAACAGGTAAATTCAGGGAACAACAAAGAGGCCACTGCAGCTGGAGATGAATGAGCAAGGGGGAAGAGGAGGAAGAAACTGAGGTTGGATAGATACTTGAATTTTATTGTAAGTGCCATGGGAGTTCTTTGTAAGGTTTTGAGCAGGCGAATTACAAAAGGACTGGATTATATTTTTAAAGGATCTCTCTAGTATAAGAATAGACTGGAGGGAGCAAGAATGGAAACAGGAAAATGCTCCAAGAAATGATTGGAGTAATCCAGAATAAGAGTCGTTAATGATTTAGACTAGAGTGAAAGTGGTAGAGATAGTGAAAAGGTTATCAGGTTCTGGTTTTAAAAAAAAATCTTAAGTTTGAAATGTCTTTTAAACATCCAGTTGGAGATCTCAGGTAGACAGTTGGATATATAAGTCTAAAATTCAGAGGAGAGGTTAAAACTCAACCAAGTCAAATCCGTTGACGTCGAGTCAGTTCAGACTCATAGCAACCCTATAAGATAGAGTAGAATGCCGCATAGAGTTTCCAAGGAGCAGCTGGTGAATTCAAACTGCTGACCTTTGGTTAGCAGCCGAAAGCTTAACCACTGTGCCACCAGGGCTCCAAGGAGAGGCTGGGACTGATGATACCTAAATTTTAAAGCATTACCGCTGGACCATACTTAAAGCCATAGGACTGGAAGAGATCACTTAGGTGTAGAGTTAATTAGTTTGAGAAGTCCACAGATTGAGACCTGATATTCTCCAATATTGAAAGCTTAGAAAATGAAAAGAAGCCATCAAGAAAGATAGAAAAGAAGTGGCCAGTGAAATCTGAGAACTCTAGAGGATGGTGTCCCTGAAGCCAAGTGAGAAAGTATTTTTAGAGTAAGGGGTTGATGGATCACCTACATCACCTATTATCACCTATTATTTCTTAAGAAATCAGGTATCCTCTTTCATTGTAAACTGTCTCTGAGAAAAACAATTTTATTAGACCTTTTTTTAAAAAAAAGTTTTGTGTTTTTTCTGAAGGTTTACTTATTAGACCTTTCTTTATCCTAATTTATTGACAGGGAGTTCATAATTATTCTCTACCAGAAACCACTAAATCTAAAGCCCTGAAGAAATTTTTACCCATTGGGGGACCCCTTCTGGATGGACTTGGAGGCTGCTGCTACTGAGATTTGAGCAGGAGAAGCACTGCTTTTTCAGAGAAAAGAACTTGCTGTTAGGATTTGCCTCACATTCACAAAAGAATTACATGATTTAAGCAAGTCACTTAATTTTGAAAGCTCATTTTCTTAATCTGCAAAATAAGGCTGGTGATAGTCAAACTACTTCAGAGGTTTGTTTTGACCAAATGAAGTAGATATGAAAAACAAATGAACAGTAAAATTGCAGCTAGGGATATCCTCTTTGCATTGCCCCAAATGTGGTACCAACCTGATTGTGATAAATTTGAAGAAATATATTGTCTGGGGTGAGTAATTTTGTTTGTTTGTTCGTTTGTTTTCTCACTCTGTAGGAACGGTTCTTCTTTTTTTTTTAATTTAATTAATTAATTAATTTATTTATTTATTTATTGTACTTCAGGTGAAGG